TTTTGGGGTGGGGGGGGGGGGGGGAGACAGGAATGGGTGGTACTCAGGGAAAGGGTATCAGGATCTGGAAAGCTAAATTTTGCTGTAGCCAAATCCAGATTGATAAAAAGCAGTGTTTTCCCACACAGCAGGGCAAGCAAACTTTGAATGGTCAAGGGTTGCCCCTTTTTACCAAGAAAATGGGGGAAGGATAGGATTTTCAGCCTTTGGAGAGGGTTTAGGGGGTTGTTATCGTTCACCTGTTTTAGCAAAATAAGTGTTATGCTGACTGGAGGCTTAACAAGCCATTAATTCTGTTGCTTTTTAAAGAAAAAGTGAAAATTTAGTCTGAAAAAAATCAAACTGAATGGAGAATCCATCCCCCTGCTACAGGGAACTGGGACGAAATCTAATGCTGGGTCCTGCTTACCATAAAGCAGCTGAGTTTAATGTTTAGGCCGCTCAGTATGCTGCAATGCCTGAATGTGGTTCCCCCAAAATGCGTCAGAGCACACAGCAGCATGGATGTAATATCTACCAGCAGCTTTTTAAAGCAGCCACACCTTCTCCCTGGGAACTTGTACAGGATTGATAGCAGAAAAAAGTAAAAAGTAAAATCACCCTCACCCATGTTCCTCAGAGCTACATGTACACATCCATATTGTTTTCTTGACAACAATACAAAATTGGCTTGCCACTGCCTTATCCCTGGATCTCTACAGCTCTGGGATATCTTGGTAGTCTCCCACCCAAGAACTAACCAAGTCCAACCCTTCTTTGCCTTTTTCAGGTCAACAAAAGATGTCTGGATGCTCCCACCTGCTGACATCAAGGTACTAGTTGAGGGTAGACAACTCTGAGATCTTTAGGGAGACAGATAAAAGCTCAGTGATGATGTAAGTGCTCTATAAGCAGACGGTCTGGGTCCAATCCTTGGCATTTTTGCTTAAAAAGAATCAGCAGGCAATATGAAGTAAAATGTTTTTTAGTATTTATGTATAGGGTTGTTTTATAATCAGATTTTAATTGATTACTTAATTTTAATTATTTATATGGTATTGTTTTGTAATGGCTTGGGTTTGTGGTTTTAATTGTGAGCCGCCCAGAGTCACCCACTGGGGGAGATGGGCGGCATACAAATTTAATAAACAAACAAACAAACAAACTGCAGCCAGGAAGAAGAAACTTGGGATTGGCATCATGGTGCACAGATACTCCCACGACCCTGTCAACACCCTATACCGTTTGGCTTGTTTGTTTTTTAGATAAATTTTAAGACATGCTTTTTCTTTTTAATCTTGGGAGGCTGGAGCTTCCAAATCACCCTCCTTCTGTCCTATTCCTTTTCCAAGGTGCTTCTTTTGAGTCCCACATGGCCGAGGTCCCTGAAGCTCTGCTATGCAGAGGTTCGGCTTGTAATCGAAACCTTAAAAAAAACGAGGGGAAAAGATGTCATTTTATACTATGGGAACGTTCTCCCTGTGAGGATAGTTATCACTGTGTCTTTCAATAGTTCTGGTAAGGTTACTGACTCAGTCTGGAGATTAAGTTTATGTAGATAAGTTATTTTTTTTTAATGAGTGTTTGCAACTTCCCATTTTTCTTTTAAAAAGAAAAACATACTAAACCCTTCACTGATTTTTATGCGCCCTAACTATTTCACATCTAAAGTAATTTATTTCTTTTTCTCTGTGGAACTTTTGACATAGATGCGGTTCTTTAGGCATTCTTAATATGCCAGCTAAGAAGGCAAAGATGTACCACTTCTGCAGTGCAGACCAGAAAACAACCTGGATGCGGCTGTGATGAAATGGTAGGTCAGCTAGTTTACTAAACTACGCAAACAAAGACTTAATTGAACTCTGACTTCCAAGGCAGGCGGGGCAGAAAGGTGAGAAAACTTAAAAGAGGGAGGCGGGAGGTAGTTGTGATAGAGTAGAAGAAAGGAAAAGGAAAAGGAAGAAGAGCCAAATAGACATTTTTTTAAAAGTCCCAGGTGGCTCATTCGACAAAATAAACTAACATTCTACAAATAAGCATGGAATTCTGTACCTCTAAACAAAAGCCATTTATATCCCATATTATCCATTCATACAATATTATTGTTAAATAAAATTTTAATTCATTGTAAGCAATTTGTCCTACAGGTAAATGAGAGACAACATATAACACCCAATCATATAGTTGGGAGGAATCACAAGATCTTCTGCAATGTGCAGAAAACCAACTAAACCATCCATGAGAACTGGCTGTCATGGCTTTTCTTGAAAGCTTTCAGAAAGAGAACCCACAACTCCCCTAGGCAGACAGCCCATTGCTCTACTAATCTTACCACCAGGAAATTTTTCCATGTATTTATCACCTATCAAATCAAGCCAACTATCCAGGTATTTAAACAAAATCTAACTAGCCATTTATACCCATTATTTCTAACCCTAGTTTCTGTCTAAGATAAGATGCTACAGGAAAATGTTTGATAAGAGAAAATAATCTCAGGATAAAAATTCTAATATTCGGGGTGAGGAGCAAGATTTTGAGACAATTTATTTATTTCTCCTCCCCTGCAAAGTAAAATAAATTACACCACTTCTGACCAAATAAGCCAGGTTTCACCTGTAACAGCCACCAGCAATTAAGATCAACTTGAGACTATCTTTACTTAATCTTTGGCAGTTCTCTGTGGAATCCTATTGCTGTATAGATAAATAATAAAGGAAGTTCAGAAGCGATTTCAGCAAGTGACATTTTCAGACTGCTCATTTTCATATTAGTCACACAGACTGGGGCAATACTATGGGATACAGTGTTCAGTCTGGAATGCTGAAAGATGTTTGTCTGAATATGCCAGACCTATGCAGCCAGCAGAAAAGAGAGTTATAGGCATACCTCAGGTATAAGATTTGCTTCAAACAACATTCATTTATAGCATTTTCCGTCATGCTTAATATCATAATATAAAGTGAACACGTTTATTCCATTTAAGAATGTTTTCAGTTATGAGATCAAATTCCATACCAAACAAAGCCTAAATTCTGCATCAGGAAATCTGCAATCTTTTAAACACTATAAACGTGTGCTTAATGTTACGTATCTTCTCTTGCATGACAGGAGAAAAAGTATAGACTTCCAACCACTAGAAATAATCTGGAACAGCTTCCCCTCTGACTTTGGAGACTGAATTATCCATGCATACTTTCTAGCCTTGTACTGCGGCCTTAAGGACTAGAATTTTTTGAAATAAAGAAAGAAAGGGGATTTCTAAA